TATCTGTTGAGTTAATTTCGCGATTGCATTTTTAACACAAGGATCGAAGGTGGATCTCTAACTTCGACGAGGTCATTGCTATATCAACATTTCCATTTTCCCAAAGTTGTAATTTTGTGGGGTCGGTCTGGTGGCTGCTTCAGTCCTTTTTACCACTCTAATGTCTTTAACAGTATTTCCTGCCCCGGTAGTCTTAATTTTTCTAATTAATGTAAAATATTCTTGTTCTTCTTGGTCTTAATGCAACGTAATCATTTTGAGAATAATTGTGGCTTAATGGGATGCCCGTCATTTAGGTAGTTGGTTTCCAACGTGATTTTGTTTTTTAATGATTTGAAGGTCCTCGAAGTCTGCGTTATTACGCATAACATCAGGTTCACATCAAGACGTCTTTCTCATCCAGATAGCGGCAATTTTATCTTTTGACAGGAAACACGTAAAAACAAGGTCAACCTCTAAACTACACATAGCTGAGATATCGAATTAGGTCAATGTGGGAGGCGAGAAATTAAGTTGCAACTATTTGCAATAAATCCTATTAAAGTAGGTAAATTATAACGCCAACTTTTGTAACAATTATTGTAGGAACACTAGGTATTCTTTTTTGTAATTCATTAGTGTCTCCCGGGTCGGTGTACGGCCGATTTTGAACGCGTTATTATTTTGTTGTGTACGCTGTCGGTTCTTTCAAAAGCAGAGGTGCATTGGCATCTAACAGGTTCGTAAAATATACAGGGTGCCCATTATGTAGGTATGGGTTATAGTATATATGTAGGTAAATATCGAATGTAGGTATACAACATTTTTCTATCTATATGAAAGTTGTTAAACATTTTATTTCCGATACATAATGGATACCCTGTATATGTAAGTTGATAACTGTTGTAATTTTTAGGAATCATTCAGTCTCTGCATCGGTACAGCTGTTGCCTTTCCTAAGATTCTCTGTGCTACATGATGTATTCTCCAAAGTGTTTTGTTGGAATTCACAAATCAACTGCACTGCTTGATGTTAGCTACTCCGCTGCCACTGCCAGTCTTGTAAATGCTTTGCAGTTTTGTGAATGTGCGCACCTCCCGCTTGAGGTTCTGGTATTTATTTCTAGCTGTTTCGGCTACTCTGAGCCAAACCAATTGGGTTTTCCGTGTTTTTTCAAAAACCTTGAAAATGAACTCTAAGCGCATTAAAAAAATTATTGGTGCTCATTTTTTTTGTCAAAAGAAATCGTTGTGATTAGCAAACACGATTTTCAAATGAACGGCATTTGAAAAAGTTTCGAATGACCGGGACGCTGCTGTGACGTCACTACGCACGTTGGCGCTCAGCCGTAGTATTGCTTACAATCGAGCCAGGGAAAGAAAACGTCGTTTTGAAGGAAAAAAGCGTCGAATAATTATTGCATTGTGCCTGGGTGTGATAGCAGAAGTCATCGCGAACCTAATAAATTGTTTATAAACGTCTCAACAGGAAATATACGAAAAAAGTTCGACGTGATGCCGCGAGTGACTCTTTGACATCCCACTTGTATTGTTGTGAAGACGATTCTAATTAATTAAAGTGCATAATGTCGATTTACTTTCAGTCAGTTATCGATGAAAATCCATCGATATATAATACTGTAATTGTAATTCAGAATATGGTTTACTTCGAACTCTATGTTCTGGCATTGTTTAAATACTTTTAAACAATGGTTCTGGGCATATCCGTGCCCTTACTGTGTACACATTTTTCTCTATTTTCACTTCCACATATCCACCCAGTAAGAAAGGAACATAACATGGACGTTTCGTAACGTCACAACAGAGTGGTTTTATAAACATTAAGTTGGTACATTACTGTAACATTTAAACAACGTTTTGATAGCTACATTTACATCGTGTACACTATAGTGACGTTTAACGCATGTTAGTAGTATAACATCACTCTTTAAACGTGAATGTAACGAGTTCTTGTTATTCATCTTCTTAACGTTTAGGAGACGGCGTACGTGTGACATAATTTTTTGTGACGTTTTAATTGTGACTGATAATTGAACGTTAAAATGTGATGTTCCTGCCATACGCTTTTGCTGTTCGTCTTAGCCGTTGTTTAAACGTGACTCAATACACATAGGATCAACGTTTTAATTGTAATAATCAAGAAACGTGGTACGTTTAACAACCAATAAACGTGTTTGTAATGATCATCATAGTCAAGTGCGGAGGCAGAAACAGTAGATGGAATTGATTTTCATGCGTATGCAATATCATTTTCCTATATTTAAACATTTAAAAATTTAAGGGAGAATATCAACAAAAATATATACATAATATTGCTCGCCATTGTTTATAACGTGCGCGCTTACACAAAACACGCGAATAATGAGAGAAATACTTGTGCCGAATCTCCGCACTACCTGACTGCATTTATGGCAACCCTTATCTGTCCTTTACGTTAATTCCTTTAATTATTTTTCACGTAAAATGTTAATATGTGTAACTTTCAGTATACAGGGAAACAGGCAAACTGAAATGATTGTCGCTTCTTCACTTGAATCTATTTATCAGGTAATGTATTTAATAAATTGTTGTAACATTTTTTATCTGTATTTGCGAGCAACATTTGTTTTATAAAATTTAATAGCACGACTACATGACAGATTTAAGAAGGGTTATATTTTCCCTAAACGCAGATCTGAGTACCGAGTGGCTCAGTTGGTCCGGCGCGCGGGTTGGCGATATCGACTCTCAATGGTTAGCGGTTCGAATCCCAGGTAAGGCACGTGTGTTCGCGTAGTGCATCGAGTGGGAAATGTAGGGTTATCAGCTAATAACACCCCTTACACTATAAAAGAAAACCAAATTCGATTTCCAATAATAAGGCATCAAATTGTACTCCTTTTTACCAAAAATGTTTTTATTGTGTAATCTAGAAGTAAAATAAATAACGTTGAAGTAATGTGTCTGTGATGCCAACTGCAAACGTTACATACACGTTAACATTTAAACGTTACAAAACTAACGTCCCTGACGCGGACATAAGGCATTGCGGTAACATCCTCTACACGTTATTGCAACTAAAGAGCTAACATCACACATCACTATGTGATGTTGCAGTAACGCATTTGCAATAGATTTTTTCTTACTGGGCAACACCCTAATTTTCTCGTTGAAATCCGTAAGGTGCATACTGTATTAGGTACCTACACTATACCTTGCACTATACACACAAAACTTGATGTTATACTTCCTATGAACCATAACAGATTTGCTTCTAGGCTTTGACTCCACTCGAACGAGTGGCATGGAAAAACTCACTTTTTGAGAAAAAGGCGGCGACCATTAACACTTCAACCTTTAACTTTAACTTTAACTGCCCCTTTACGAACCAGTCAGAACTCAGTTTATGGCAGATTGCCATAATAAGTCGAATCGAACTCCTATCAGTGTCATGCACTAATATAACTCCCGATCGGCAACCTGCGTAGTGACGTAAGCGACGCTCGGCCAATATCGGCATTTCGTCGGTTGCATGACAAAATTTGAAAGTTTTACGATATTATATGTTGTTTATTGACATGCTGCAATTAGAAAAAAATGTTTTGTATATGAGATGTTTAATTACAGGTTATAAACTTTACAGTAAGACATAAAAAAGTTACAATATTTTTTTTCTGGAAGACCCTATTGTCTAGGAATGTCAAGTCAGTCAAGTGTCAATAGCGAAATGAGTTCCGACGAACAAATACTTCGTTTTTCTCTACTGATCAGTCGCGAGGCAAACAACGTAACATTAGTAGAGTAGTAGAGTCGCGCGGCTAATAATCGCCAATGTGAAAGAAGTTTATACTGCTTCCAATATCGGTGCGAATTTTGGTTTCGTAATCATTATAATTAGTGTTGGAAATGAATGCGATTTTTCCAATTCATTTATCCAATGATTATTGGACTAGAGGAAATGTGTATTTTTGAATTTATTAGGGGTTTATGTTACATTATTGGAAGTTAATGTAACAGCTTTGAGTTGTAGGAATATTTTTATACCATACTCTACATCCTATCTCATTTGTAAATTATGAAACACCCCGAAGCCTCTTACATACTTACCTACTTCAAACACATGGTTAATTAGCTGGACTTCTTGCAATCCAGAATGTATCTAAGACCCTTGATACGCTAACTTAGACTGAAGTTCTATGTTGAGATGGCTGTGGTAGTCGCTAAGCAATGTATTAACTTCTACATTTATACCTCTGCATGGGGAAAAGGTTAATTTCGTTCAAAAAGGCAGATTCGTGGACCAAAAGGTGAAAGTTGCCAATCGATCTTAATGAGTTTAAGCATGAAATGAAATATAACAAATGGCCAATCTCAAGAAAAATCAAATGCGGGTATAGAAATTTGCTGTGAAACTAGCAAATAGAATTCAAATCAAGGTTCACTTACACTGTAGAAGGCAACATAAAGCGAATCTGGCATGAAATTCTCTATTGCAATTAACGCACTTAACGCCTTCAAATACATTGTTTGTACGGCACTTGAGAAACACTTTCCATTTGACTATCACTTCCTTCCTGGCTTCTGCTTTACCTCGATTCCTCATACAAAGGTTTACTTGTGATACCAGTATAATGTCGCTTTGGCACCCTACCTACCCACCCTTTCGGTAATTGAGAGGATCGAGACAGATAAAACGTGCGAGAAGTAGTATTATTTGATGCCAAATGTCTAGTTCTGTTAGTGTTAAAGTATCGAGGGCACCATATCAGAACGGTGTATGAACCAAAAATTTTACAGGAAACGATAAAAAACGTTTAAAATTTTTAGTTTTGTGGGTACAGAGTTGCTTTAACGCTAATATTATGGATGTAGCACTTGGTTTTAATGGATAACATTAAAATTGGTTTATTGTAGTAATTAGATGGGGTTTTGGTTCTGATACGATTGTATTTGAGGTATAATCATATGGGAGTTACAATAAAATTAAAAGCGGTATAAAGTTTATTTTTCATAGTTTTAACAAAATAAAGCGTAATTCTAAATTAAATGGTTTATGAATACATTAATCTATTAAGTGAATACAAAGCAAACCAAAACATAAATTCTACTGAAACATTAATCTGTGAGGTAAACAAAATAACAAGATACAAGGAATCGCATATGATTTTCAGTTGGGAAATTTTTTGCCACTCAGCTTGTATTCGGAAACCAGACTTTTGATCCGGCTCATATTCAATAGCACTGATCCTTGAACTCGTAAAAATCGATTGGCGTAGGTTTGACAGCGCTGCCTCTTTTCGTTCCCAAATTAGACGAGGAACAGGCGGACAAACGAACAAATCCATCACATACGGAGATTTTCGAAAAATTCCCCTAAAAACTAAGCATTCCTTCACTTCCATTACAAACACATTCACAGCTTCAGCGAAACTTCGCCTCCCTGGTCTGCAGGATATCGCCAATGACCTCTAGGGGGACAATATTAACAATTTTAGGCTACAGTCAAAATGCAACCAATGGTTTTATGAAAAAGATAATTTTACCGTTCTTTAATTCATTTGGAAGTACAGTGTTTTTTCTTTAACAATTTACTTTGTAATGTAATTAAATATGTACACAAACCATACTTAAGAACTAAACTGGATAAAAATGACTGATTATAACTGATCACTTAACTGATCAATAAATAAGCTACAACTACAATAAATTAAATAAATAAATTATAGACATAAATGACTGAATTCCCTTAATTAAATTTTCTGGCTTGTACTAGCTTGTTGATCTCATTAAACGTTGTAACAATGGCAGGATTCGGTTGATCAGCTGAGAGAGATGGGCATCCGCTATGGGCTAAACACTCCTCGCCATCTTGGCCGTCTTTGGCTGCTTTCATGTAGCGGAAGAAACGCAGTATTTCTGGATTGTCCGATGACGGTTTTCTCAACTCGTTCAACTCCCTAAAACATGAGAAAATGAATGTGCAAGATGTTCTATTATTCTAATTGTACAGGATTTTTAGACTCTTAACACAGTATTTGTGTGAGCACCATGTTTCAATAAAAAGTTTAGGCATCCGTTATTAATTTAGATTAGGCAACTGCTAAAGGTGTTCCCATAAATGTGTACGCCCTTCAATCCTTGGGAGTTTGGAAGAGAAAGACAGTTCCATTTATATAGCCCAGGGAAAAATTAATGACATTGATATACTCGTTAGTCTAACTTTAACCAATCTTCTGTTGCTGTATAGTCCTATTCGAGATATCAAACCCGAGACTGTGTCCCGATTTTTTTCCTTAGGTCATATAGATGTAGGCACGAACAAAGAATATCTTATTCAAGGCTTTGAATTTCTTGTCTGCTACCAATTTCAAACCTTTTCGAAATTATCATCATCCAGAAACAAAATCTTACTTTTCTCAATACTTTGTATACTCTCCAGTATTCTCTACCTCTGAAAGCCAATTTTTATACTTTCCTCGTACACATGCGGCTGATGGAAGATTTTTGCATCTTTCATTATCCTGTCGCATATATTCCATTAACTCTTCAATTAATTATTCACACATAACCCGTTCAACTTTAATTACAGTTATAGTTTATAAATTACATGCATCACAAAATGTTTCGCCTAAACTTTGTTTTTAGTTAATCCTTGTATACTCAAACGAGTTTGTAAGCTTTTATGCGATAAGTTGGAAACTATTCATACATATATTAATTTTGAACCCTCGATGCCAGCCCAATTTTTGTTGGCCCGACTTTGAATAAACTAAAAATTTATATTCACAACTGAAGTAAATTAATAAGTTAGTCGAAAATTTCCGCGCTTCATTAAGTGTAGAATTGTTGCTTCATGTACACTTAAAAATGATGATAAAACTCGTTATTAATTTTAGTTATGAAACTGTTCCTCAGCGCAAATGAAGGACGGCGAATTAATTTAATACTGCTTTGTTTGGAAAGCTTAACGGCAATCACTCATCATAAACAAAAGCGGAAAAATTCAGACAAAATATCTACGTATATTAAAACATATTTGTCATTCTCAGTTTGCGAGGAAACAAAAGTTAGAGGGATATATTACCTAGTCGAGATGAAAATTTAAAATTACTTCGCCCAGCTAATCAAACATTTTAAATTCAGATGTAAAGTAAAAAGAAATTTGAAATTTTTATAACAGCGGAAGCGTGTTAAACTTTACCTGCTGAGCTGCGCTGAAACCAAATTGCTGTAAGGAGCGTATTTTGCGGGGTTGGCATACATCATGCACACGAGCTTTTCCCTGCAACGTTCCGTTTTGGGTGATTTGTCGTTGCCCAGTCCGAGCTGCTGGAAGACGGCGTCCAACCTTGATAAAAGGGGGCTGTAGAACGGATCATATGTCGTCAGTAAGAGCGACGAGGGAGGTATTTTGTGAAAAACCTTGAAATCTGTGTTCACTGAAGGCTTCTTTAGATAGTAATTACTCTCGGATTGATACGGTGTATACGATACCATGTTATTTCCGTAACCAAACCTAAAATCAGAAGTATCATGTGAAAATGCAATTTATTTTTCAATTTCGTGTAAGTAATCAGAAACTTAATAAGAGCATCTGAACCACAGTTTGCATTACTTCTATTGCACAACAACTGCTTCCTTTTTAAATTCAAATTTTTACATCATTCTAAAAGTTTCCAGAGAAAAGATGTAATGAAATAATATTCTTTTCAACTGGGACGTATTTTTCCCTTATTCGCAAAGAAATTCGCATTATACAACACCGCACTTGTTAAAAGTGAAGGGAGTAATACTAATTTTCTGTTTTAATCTGCTTTTAACGTTTCGCGAGAGAAAATTGGAAAGAAGTTAGTTTCCTCGAACTTTTTGAAAGCTTGAACATCAAAGAAAGTAGCGATTACGTTGATTAAGCCTAATGGAAGAAAATTAAAAAATGCTGACATGACAATTACCTATATCAATGTGATAATACTTTTTCCAAGTTTCAATCGGTTGCAAAATGAATACGACAAATCAAAACTTTAAACACGTACCTACTAAATATATTAAATTAAACTATGCCTAAGTGTATTGTCATTTTGAACAATCCATTGAAATGATATAAAATTTCAAGCAAGAGATTTCGTCCAGACCTTGGCACAACGAGCTATTATTAGTCACTGATATTCCTTCATTAGAGCAAAGAAGAATTAGAATGGGAATGTCGTTTCTCTATAACTTAATACATGATACAATCGACTTCCCTGACCTGCTTCAGTACCTCAATTTTTTCGTCCCCCGTTAGGGTTATCGCGGAAATGACACCTTCTATCTACCTTTTTCGAAGTCAAACTTATTTAAGAAGTCTCCGCTCCATAATGTATGTAACAACTGTAATATGTATTCGAATAGGTATATCTTACATTTAGCAAAAATCGGTTTCTAAGTTTTTGAATTGTTTATTCATGTAACTTATTATGTATTACCATAGAGTGAGTATTAGCTTTGAATATTTATATTCAAAGGTATTACTTAGAATTACTTTTCATGCGCGTTATTTCTTTTTTTGTTTGTTTGTTTGTTACTTTCATTGTTACTGTTCTACTTTCTCGAATTATTGTAAGTTTAACTTTTTCCATTTGTCCTCTAATCTAATTGGATCTTTTATGTATCTGTTGGGCAAATATATATTATTATTATATGTACAGTGTGTAAAGCGATGGGGTATACAAGAGGGAATTTTTTTTTAAATATTGATTTATGAAAAAAATTTATTCTTCATGATATTTTCTGCTTACTTTGAAAGTACCAATAACGTTTCGATAATTTAAAATTTATTTATAGAAATCTGGAAAAATAATAAAATTAATTTTTTTTATTGAAAGTTATTCTACATTATAATCAAAATAGCGTATAGGCGCGTACAGACCGAGTTTCCAACGCAAGCCAAGGCACATGTGGTTACAGATTTGGAGGTGTTCGGGTTGGAGTGTACCGCGCGAGCCAACGGTTTCCAACCGCTTCCAACGGCGCTGTTGGCGTTCGGTTGCGTTCGCTCGGTGAGCGGTAGGTACATCAAAGGAAAATTTGATGTGGTCTGGACAGGATTTGTCGCGATTTTAGTTTTTAGTCGTTTGTCTGCCTTTTTAAAATGTCCACCATCTTCATTTTAAAGTTCCTCTAGTAAGTGACTGCCACTATACAAACTCCTATTTTTAAATGGTGTTGTTACCTCGTCCTCGTCGCTTGACATTGTTTGACAGACTAGCAGCACCGGTTACCGAACTTTACCCAACACGGTCCCACCAAGTCCAACTCAAATCTTAAATTTTGGTGTGGACGAGGGCATTCCAATCGTTTCCAACGACAAACGTCAACGTCACATGTGCTTGGATTCGTTGGCTTGGCGTTGGAATCCGGTCTGTACGCGGCTTATTGCTATCAAACCACAAACAATCGAAACGTTATTGGTATTTTCAAAGCAAGCAAAAAATATCATGAAGAATAAATTTTTGTCATAAATCAATATTTAAAAAAAAATCCCTCTTGTATACCCCATCGCTTTACACACTGTATATTATTATTAAAACTACCAAGGATAACCATGTGTCTCCTTGAATGGCAATTCATGGTCCTTGAAACAAGTATATAATATATAACATAATTGATTTACTTCTACCAGTAACTTCTGCTACTCGTGAACCAATAGTTTTGATTGGATTAAAATTTGTGAATGTTCGTATTTTGGCCATATCTCTGCTTAGAAAACAGATATCAAAATGCGGTTTTCACTGATATTCTCACTGTTTCATCTTATTTGATAATATCATATAATATTTATATCGTTCCATGTGAAATTTTCAAAAAACCTGCAAAGTTTATGTTAATGTCACATCGCGCCCTCTGCCACTCATCACATTTACTAAAAAGTTTCCATTCATGTAAAATCTGATTCCACGAAGAGAGCTCTTTCCAATAAGACCTATTATTTGAAAATCTGTTAACCTAATCCGAAGTTACATTCAATTCCTTAAAGAGATGTTCCTCTTCCCCCACCCCTCATATTTTATGAGCTAGAGCATAACATGCATCAAAATGATGCATTAATTGATACAAGATTGCGGTGCATGTATTTTTTATTAACGTTTGTTGGGTATATTTTAGGAAAAAGGTCATTTTTCTACTTAACTATGAATCGTACGCCCTCTACCGACAAAGCTACAAAATAATTTCCAGCGATTTCTCTTGGCCCCTTTTGTTAACAAAATTTTTTTTCCCGAAGGTCGAATGAATCCATTCGAATTCGTTCGCTATTTGAATACGGGCTTTAAGTAGCGTACTTCATTGCTTCAGCCTTTTCCGCTGCTGACCCAGCCTGATTCAAGCGAAAAAGGCGCGAACGTATCCCGGCACGTAAAATTCCACACAAGCGACCTCCTCTTTCGCCATGGCATGAGGGTTAAACCATCACAGCGTTTACCTTCACTCCTTGAACAGTCAGATGGTTCACAGCTGCATGGAGTTTCGGCGGAACAAAGACTTCGAGTGATGGTGTCACTACAAAATTCATAACAATTCCGGCAGCCAGCAGATTCCTCAATTACATTCCACTGATTCCCAAATTAGATCAATATATCTTCAAGAATTCATAACACAATGAAACATAAAATCCTGTTTTTTGTTCTGTTCGCGTGTCCGTGGGAATTTCGGAAAGCGTTTCACTAACTCAGAAACTTTCTCGGCCATACGTCCAACTCTTTCCCAAAGTTTCATTGCCGTGGAATGAAGGATTTAGGCAAGCGTAAGAGACATACAGACAGACAAACATTCATTTTTATTTATATACATAATAGCAGACCCGACGAACCTTGTATCGTCTATGGCGGCGAACCTCGTATAAGTATACCTATTTGGGTTGACATTCCAAAACATTCCCAAAATATAATGCCATTACAGTGTGCACATTTTAAATCCTTTGAGTTTTGTGAGTTAATATGTACCGCTTCAGGATGTGGTGCTGATGTGTTGCAAAATCATACTGTGCACATCTTAAATATTTGAAAGTATTTAAACTTAAATTTTATTTCTTCATCGTTGCATAATGACACTGTGCACATTTGAAATCTTTTGAAATCTTGTGCGATAACTGATAAGAGATTCCGATTCAGAATATGTTAAAGATTCCTTAGAAAATTGCAATGTATACGCTGCAAATCTTCTTACAGAGATTTACTGACAATCGAAATCGCGAATAACTTATGCCTACCACTTTTTAATTTATCATTTGTTCTGTTATTTACTTTTGTAATTTATCTCATATTTTTTCTTGTTTTTTTTTCGGTATTTTAAGTTATTCTGCTATTCGGATCGGAGACGAATCCATCAAATCAAAGATCATGAAAATCGGTCCAGCCATTCTTGGGTTATAACTAAGTGGTAATATTAAAACTATAGTAATGTATTATTTATAGATATAACGCTTATTTATCTAATCTATGAGGAGATTCGTAAATAATTCAAAAATCCGGTCTACATTCTTGGAGCTCCGCCTAAAACTATTGTTGAACTAATTCTTAGATTTTCAGAATTTCGGGAGAAAGGTACAAAATTACAACAAAATGGGTCCCAGAATTTTCCCTGAAATACGTTTGTGTGTGATTGTAGGTATACTGTTCAGAAAGAACGTAGATTACACTATCGACTATGATGCAGAATGTGCCATACATATGCTGGCATTGAAATTTTGTTACAGAACAATAGCGTAGGTCATACATTTTTTGAAGATATGTGGAGAATCTAGGTAGTTCGAGTTGGCACAGCAGCCTCGGAATCAGTTTGTAGAGATTCTCATTCTTGAAAATCCTATGGGAATCCTATACAAGCACTGACCCATCTAATCAACTCTAGGATATTACATCTGAGTTTGTAAACATTTTTAGAATATCTTAAGAATTATGGGAGCATCTCTAGTTTCTCAAGGATGTGTAGTGAATCTCTGAAGACATACATAAAATTCTAAAGATAAGATAGAAACATCTGCAAAGAATCTGTAAGCACTTATAGTGATGATGGGCCTCCTTGTATAATTTCAATTTCACTTTTTTTAGTTTAAACGTGGTTGTTAATTTGGATTGAACACAAATTCGATTATTTAATTAAGTCTGAGAGAAAACAAATGAAGATTCAGAAGCAACCTTAGTTGGTGTTTGTGTTTTTGTGCATCTATTAAAGAAAATCGGAGCTAGGACGGGATATTAGGATTATTACCTCTGTAAAGTAATTAAGTTTTTTTTTATCAATTTGTTTCAATCGATCGCATGTGCGTGGTATACTGTTTGCAGGCCCTAAGGGCCTTTCTTTATTTTCAGCAATGTTCTTTGTTTATGTCGAATAAATTTATTTTGTTTGTCAATGATCAAATTTTTTGTGCAAAATTACTTTATTGTGGTAGTAACTAACCAAGTGTGATACAAAAAGGTTGTTTCAGAGTATGATGAATTCCCTCAAAATATAATTGCAGGTGCGTATTTAAAAAGA